AGTTAAAAAGGGAAAATGATCCCTGGAGTACACGGTACGAGCACGGTCCCAAAGTAGCGGGATTGATTCATCAGATCATATTGTTCACATTCTCTGCAAGCGAGTATGCATGGCAGATGTAACAGACTGGGGTGGGAGAGATGGATGTCCCTAGCACGCATTCTGGACTAACGAGAAGGAACAGGATAAAGCAGGTTGGTCGGGTTTGTAGGCTATCACAGGTCGGAAGTGGCCCTGTATAGACACTGGAGCGTCGTGCGTCTTGACACGTCTTGGTAAAAGCTTGGGAAGCTTGTCTGTCTGCAGACCAGTTCAAATTTTTCATATTGGCGATCAAGAAGGAAAAATACTCTTGAGCCATCTGCGATGGCCGAGGGCTCATGGGTATGAAGATAATAAGTATAAATTGAGGAGGAAAGCAGAAGGCTAGAGAAGACGAATGCTATTGGTTCTAATTTGAATTTGAATCTCACCGCGAGAACGATATTGTTTGCACTCTAGCAGTGTTAGATTGTGAGGACCCTCTTCATCGCTTCCCAAACGGCGTGGCCAACTGAGTTCTGGATTCCTGTACCTGATTAACGTGCAATCGAAAACTCATAGCACCATTGGACATGAAGCCGACAGCCATAGGCCGTGTCATTGTGCCTTGTTCACTTGGCTTGATCAGTCAGTCATTCGACTTAACGGCGCCTCGAAAGCTCATCTGGTTTAGATACAATATAGTCTGACCAAGCAGAAAAGCTAAGAATGTGAATTCTTGTGGTATATTCTGTACTGATATTTGATGTCGACTAAGCTTACACTTTTTTTTTCTTCTTTTCGGGCAACTCAAGGGCAGGAGGACTCGTTATGGGTTTGCGTTGCGTTTCCGTGGGATAAAATACATTTTCCCGCCAAGAGTAAGATCTCAGCCTTCGTGATGCAACGGTCGCTTTGTAGTTGCTTGTGCTCGAAGCCTTCATGAGTAAGGATATGCTCTGGGATCAACTCTAGCAACCACTTAATAAGATCGTTTATCCTATTACGATAATTTTTCTCGGCTTGATTATGCAAGTGACGATCTCTGCGCTCCTTTCTTGTTGATGATAGACCACGATATGCGTTCTTTGAAACGCGAGATGCGCTGCGAAGGTTTCTCGGCACATCAGCTTTAGACCTTCTCCTCGTTCCTGGGAGGCCGGACAAATGTGAAATCTCTGTTGGTTCAGCTATAAGCAAAGGAGTCAGTTATGCTGGTGTCATCTCCAGTTTTGGATGACATACTGTTGTGTTCCAAATGGCCTTCCAGCTTGTCATTCGGCTGATGCGTCGTAGTGCACTCAGATTGGACGACATGTGTATGCTGAGAGGCCGGAGCTTCTGACAGAGGAGCGATTGCCAGTGGTGAAATCGGCATTGTAGTGCTGCTTCGGTTTATTACAGCATCGGATATAGATAGGTCGACCTCACTTGACTGATATTAGCGGCGATCATGATAGCCTTTGCTTGGTAGGAGTCCTCTTAATTCTGCATCAAACCTTGTACGAAACTCGCCAAAATGATTCGGGTCTACATGGGCAGCGGATGTGAGAAGTTATACCTCAAAATAGTTCCTGAGTACGTTGAATAATACTGGCCATCACAGCCCTGTAAAGGCAATGAACAAGAATTATATAAACGTTGGTCTTCCCAGTCATTAATGAACATGGCCATACTTGCTTGGTATGGACTACGCCTAAGTCTGGTCGGAATAGCGTTGCGTAAGTAGAGCTAACGTATGGTAGCGGATCAGGATCATGGACGTACCAATGTAACTTGTTTATCTGATTGACTTTCTGTGTTTATCCTGACTACGGACTCTTTCGGGCGAGAAACGTAAAGTTCAAGAGACGATGGCTCCAAGCGGATGTTACAAAGTTACCATCAAAGTATCATATCAAATAGTTGAGAACGGGGCATATTGCCGTGTTACTATAGTAGTACTGATCGAAACTTTGGTCCCAGTCGGGCCGGTAATAGATGCTAAGTATGCGAAACACCAAATATATACAGAGACACATGCATTGCCTGTCGTTAACGATATCATTTGTGACCCCTCAATGAACAACTGATCGACAACTACCTAGCGGAGACATGCAGGGGTACAAGACACTGATTGGCCAGTATGCAAATTATGGTGTCATGCACTGCAGCATAATCCCGTTTATTGGGTATTTCTGCGCTTCCATAGGTACTCTTGCAAATCATGAGTCCACTCCTTTATCACTGGCATTTCATCTCACTTGCTTAAGTAACCCCAGCCACCGCATGCCCCCTTCCCCCTCGCCACTCTTTTTGACCGCGCTTCGTGCAGGCCGAGGACACAATTACACGTATTGAACTGCCGTTTAATATGGTAACGCACAACCACCTTGTACACCGCCACCTATTTAAAAGGTTGAGCTATATCGAGCATTAGTCTTATTGGAGGACTTCGTATTCTCTCATTCTTCATTGCGATGGTGTCATACCGCATCACAAGCAGGATTGTATTTAAATGAAGATGTATTTATAAAGGAGCGGTTAAGGCATTCTTATGGTAATGGTTTCACAGCTGACCTGATCTGTCCGTTTTTATGAAATTGATGCCTTTTGGCTGAGCCAATCTCATGTTTTTAACACTCAGATTTGAAGTAGGTGTTCTACAAATGGTCTGGACATACGGTCAAAAGAATATGTTAAATATCAAAAAGCGTACATTTGACCAGATTTCTAGCACATCGATATATTCTTGCCATGCTAAGCTTAGGGCATGTAGCAAGTTCTCAGAGTCCTTCCCGTGTATGGAGCCTGTCTCATGCAATAATGTCTTAAAGTTAACTTCACTTCATAGCCTCTGAGTCGGTCTAGCACATAATCCAGCCTTTAGAAATTGTCCGCTCGTAGGATGACTAGCGAGTATACAACTGCTGCTCCAGACTGGACCAGAAATTTTTACTTTGATTTCCCATCCATATCGCCTGGACGCTTTTTCTGAAAGTTGATTAATAGGCCTGTTCCAAGTTCATGGTACACATACCAGCCAAGATCGCTGTTATAAAGACGGTTCAAGAGTAGATGTGGAGTACAGCATACTTCGCACGTAGGCAATTCTTCGCTTCATGTCCTCTTTCTTGGACTTTTGGTGGTCATGAAATGTGAAAAGCCTTGCTTTTTAAGTAAGCCTTTTGTACTCAAGAAGCTTGAGCTGCTCTTCACGGATGCTTCGTCATCCGAATTCGTCTTGAGAGGCTTCGCCAATTTGGTAAGTTCTTGGCATTCATCTTCCCGCGTAAGAGCTGTGTGCATCTGCAGTATCTGTGATGAATGGATTTTATCGTGTATATGGAAAGGGTAGTTCGACATGATGAGAGTTGATATGGACCAAAGCTCAAGAGGTGAACGGACAGAAAATGTTGAGATCTGTAGTGGTTGTAATCTTGATGGAACAGTTTGATCACTGATGAATATATACCACAATGCTATATGAATGTTGCTCGTCTATTCTAGGCAATATTCAGTTGATCTCGGAGCTCATACTATGTTACGGGACACTCTGTGAAGAATACTGTGAATAAAAAAACATAGAGTACTGTAGCAGTTTTATGATATGATGGTAGGTTGTAGTTGCACGGACCTAGCATGTTAGGTGCTAGGCACCACCCTAGGTACTAGTACCTAATTTCCCCCGCAGCTGCCACAGCTTTCCGCCCTCTGTAGTTCATCACTTTTTGCTACACTTGCCACCCATAGATTGATGATCATCAGAGCCTGATAATGCATAGTCTCGTGGCCGTAGCTAGATGACAATCATCTTCCACCATAAACCTTCTTCTTCGTCGTTTTCCGTGAAGTACCGGTACTAAACAGCAAGGCTCTGGCCTTACATAGCAAAAATTGTACTGGAACTTTCGGTTCAAGCATTTATGATCTGACGGTCGGTTGCAGGACGCATGGATCTAGCAAGCATTATACCGGAATAACGCACCAAACCACTGCACTAGCTGAACAAAATGTGAAGCTCCACACTAGGAACTAGCCTGATAGTGGTTATGGATACATCAACACGGAATTATCGGTTCGAGCAGTTATGATCTGACGGTGGATTGCAGCTGCATAGGCTACCACTGCACCGGAACTGTTGGTTCCAGTAGTTTCATAACATAACGGTAGATTGCAGCTGCATAGACTTAGTAGCCACTACAAGGGAACTGTGAGTCCGGCGTTTATGATATGATTGTAGATCGCAGGATGCTGCATAACGGCACGGTAGGAAACTAATGGTTGAATGAACAACCTGTTATTCAAACCTCTTAATCTAATAATAGCTCCTTTACACACTTTATCTGTTAGAACTAGTCCTTCAAAGATTAGATCCAACTCAGATTCTCGAAGGATTTCTCGTAGACGCTGTTACTACTACGTCTGCTAATTACAGGACTCGCAGCGGCATCGCGTTCTTTCCTCGAGTCCTCTTTTTACTCTCCTAAAGTCTCCTGAGTACAGAAAACAGCCATGTTTGATACGGATCATCATTTGCCTTTGTTAGAGCATGATGAACACTCAAATGGCGATTTCCATACATCTAACCATGACAAGATACCATACAAGATATCAAAAACACGAACCACCACCAAGCCAACACTCCATCTAGCACTGATTTTGCCCTGGATTCTGTTCTTTCTTACTCTCATCATTCTCTTATTCCAATGGTTCCAATACCAACCAGCCTCTCCTCTTCTGTATAGTAAGTTAACTTTACGTTCCCAAAGGATGTCTCATGAGTTGACCATCAAGGCCCTGCATATGATTCTTTGGAATATGAAATACGAAGATTTCGCCTGGGACTTCATAATGATACAACTGAATATCAGGGAGACCCATCTCCAGAGCTCGATGAGACGTGGGAATCTTTATATAGGAGTATGCCATTTGCCCCCAGTCGAATTTCTGGCGTCTAATCTTGACATTTAGTGGGAATCAGTGCCATTCCACTCGAAATGGCCAAGAAACTGCCCAATCGCACGGCCATGATACCGCATGATGAAGAAAAACGTTACATTATGCAACTCGACGTTTTTCATCAACTCCATTGTTTGGTAAGTTTGGCAAGCCGACCTATATTTATTTCATTCGAAATGATCATTTAATTGATGTTGTGGTATTAGAATGCGATTCGAAAAGCGCTTCATCCAGATTACTATACCGTTTCCTCCCAGCCAGATCCAAATGACGATGGTGGCGTCCTCGAGCCTCATCACATTGATCACTGTGTTGACACCATCCGGCAATCTCTTATGTGCAATGCTGATATCAGCCCTTTGACCTGGATGTGGGATGATGAGAGGGCGAAAATCCTTGCGAAAGGCACCATAGTCCACACTTGCCGACGGTTCGACAAGATCCAGGAATGGGCTTCTCGATATAATTATGGCAAAATGATGGACTCCACTCAGAAGGCAGTGAATGACCCTTTAGACCCCGAGACTTGGACAGAAGGCTTTTCCGGTTAGGGTGGACTAGAAAGGAAATATTCCGTATCAGCAAACGATGGTAGCAGGTAGTGTTTTCAACATAGACCAGCAATCACAAGCGCGCGGGTTTGATTCAATTAGAACTTGACGAATACTCGCACGTTGCCTTAAAATTTGATAATCATCGAAGCTACTAATACTGTAAATTGTTTAATCGAAATGGATATGTTGAAGAGCCTGGCTAGGTTAACGTTTGAATATTTATATTTACTCAATATCTTAGAAAATGCTATCATACGCCAAATTCTTTGGGAGGATTCAACTAAACTATCCCGTGTATGATATCATTGTTTAGTTCTGTAGCTTCCAGTATTATATATGATTAAAGCGGTGTTCTTGTTACGAACGCAAAGTTGACGAGTTTATACAAACGTTGATTTCCAAACAAAATCATTTCCCAATCCATGACAACGTTGAGCACGAATTGAGGAAATGTTTCGTTGTCGTCATTTAGCTATAGTAAATCTGACTAGGACAGAATACCACGTCGACCGCAGGTATAATTGCAACACCTTTAAACAATACCATTGTGGCCATTATATGCTCACTGCTGCAACCCATGTCGACATCAACAAGACTGTGTATATATCTCGCCTCGAACCGCGACTTCCCAGAGTGCTTTAGGTCCCTTGCCCTGCATTCCCAATATCATCTGAGCGCAGTGGCTTTGATGATGTAGGCCCATGGCATTGTAGGCGACCGGAATACCGTCCTTGTCATCGTTGTTCCGTAGCCAAAGAAGCAGGCAGTGCGTAACGTGATGGAGGCGGGTCGTATAGTAAGGAGTCCCAAAGGGGAGTTCGGTTAGGTTGGGGCCCAGTCCATCGTCCAAATCAGCCCCTGCGGTTGCATAGAAACCCGTCCCTGGCATCGAAATGAACTCGGCCTCATAACTCCGGGAGCATGCCTTTGGGAGCCAGAGCCCGCTGAGGTAGTCAAACTCGCAGCCCATAGCCAGAGCTTCTTCGCGAGATTTGCCGCAGTGATGTTCGACCTTGTTCACCTCGGCCGAGTCATGCGGAAGTGCAGAGCAGACTCCTGAAGCTGGTGCACTATAGTACATGACGATTACTCCGAGCATGAATGAGAAGGCGAGTATGAGTCCGATGAAAATGTACTTGAAAGGCCTGACCCAAGGAGTGGATGCGCGGATTGGAACGGGAGGGCCGTACTCAGATTGTTCCGAATCTGTTGTAGATAAAGGTTCATATTTCTTGGTAACAGATGTTCGAGGATACATTCTCAGCGATTTATCATGGAACTTGTCTAGTGACAAAAAAACAAAGGAAGAGCCTCCGAGAGATTGAGGGGAATTCGAAAAAAAAGAAAGAGGCAGAAGCTAGGATGACATGCTTTGTTCAGTTCATATCAGGATACGGTCGTTACTGCCTCTAAGTAGTGCTGCCTGTGGATTGGCCGAGTGCTGAAATGGCGTTAAGCTTCAACCGATGCTTCACTATGAATGGGTTAGCGTATAGCTACGATACTTCTGTGCAGTCCAAAATAATTTCATAGGACTACTAACCATAATCCATGTATAGGTGGCAATTTCAGTGAACTAATACAGCTATGATCCACTGTCAAATCATAATTGCCTGGACTTACAGTTCCCTTGTCGTGGTTGCTAAATCTAGCAGCTGCAATCCACCGTCAGATCATAAATGCTCGAACCGATAATTCCGGTGCAGTTTTGCTAGATCCATGCGTCCTGTAATCGACCGTCAGATCATAATTGCTCGAACCAACAATTCCGGTGCAGTTTTGCTAAATCCATGCATCCTGTAATCGACCGCTGCAATCGACCGTCAGATCATAAATGCTCGGACCATCAATTCCGGTGCAGTGGTTGCTGGGTCTATGCAGCTGCAATCCACCGTTATGTTGTTAAACTGCTCAAACCAACAGTTCTAGTGCAGTTCTTGCTAGGTCCGTGCGATTTGTAATCCATCGTCATATCATCAACTTGCTCGAACCAAGAGTCCCTTGTAGTGGCTGCTAGGCCTATGCAACTGCAATACACTTGTCATATCATTAAGATTACTCGAACCAATCATTCCCTTGTAGTGGTTGCTAGGTCTATGCAGCTGCAATCCACCGTCATATCATGAGACTGCCTAAACCCATAATGCTCGTGCCAGAGCAATGCATATTGGCCCATTTCTAAATACAAGGTTCAAGTAATACAAGCATTAGCATATAAGCGAAATTCGTACGTCAAAAATCCCTTAGAGACCCAATTTAAGATCCTCCATCCTCATACTATACGTAACCTAAAGTCACGGTGACTGGGTAGTGTTTAGAACCCCAAAATCCGAATAAGCCTGCTTGAGATCAGTATCTTAAACTACAAGGCTTCCCCTCTCTACCACTTCTAGTTCGTCGATTGGCGTAATATTATTGCATCATGCGTTCTTGGAACTTTTTTGAGAAAATTAGAAATCCCACGTTTGGTGCGGCGAAGACGTCAAAAAATGAGGACGAAAGTGAGTCACTTATCGAAAGCTCTCATAATGGGAGGGCTCCTTCCGGAACTAAAATAACGTTGATTGTTTCAATTTGTGTCATTAACGTTTTGATACTGTTTACTTCACTCTACCATTTTCATCTTGCAAGCAATCTTTGCCAAAGTGGAACGAGGCCGCTCCCCGGGTATCAAAATAATGACCTCAACACACTTTGGAAACAGTCCTCCAGCTACTGTAAGTCCACACCGGAGCCTACGCATGCAACTCAGCTGACAACAGAATGCTTGGACAGCGCCCATACTGGACAAATTGGACCTGGGCATGGACCGCGTAATGTTTGAAGGGGCACTCCAAGACAACACATCTATATGGCGCCAGACACCTTCACCTGAAGTGGATGCCGCTTGGGACTACATTACAACGGAGGGCATGGAAGCCGTTACAGCGCCAGCTGAAGACGTGTTGCGCTCTGGAAAAAATGTCTCAATGAGTGTCAAAGTACCTACATCCTGGGGCCTCGGGGATGATGCATACCTGGCACAGATAGAGGTGTTTCATCAAATACACTGTCTGAACCAGCTGCGGAAGGAGGTTTATGCGGAGTACTATTTTACTTCTCCGGCCAACGACCTTCGAATCGGGCACCGGAATCACTGCATTCATATGATACTCCAGGTTCTGATGTGTAACGCAGACACCGGTCTCATATTCCATAACTGGGTTCACAATAGTGACCTCCCAGCCCCCCAAACCAGAGCGTTCGCAGATTTCAACACAATCAAGAAGTGCAAGAACTTTGACAATATTCTCGACTGGGCTCGAGAGAAGGGGGTCAAAAATGTAAAAGATAAAATGATCCATGATCTCACATATCCGCCAGGGGCTCCATTTTTAGCTGGAGATGGTTATATCATATCGCAATGATTTGATTAGGCGTGAGCAAAACAGAAAATTCTGGAGTGGTTATGAAGCTTTAGTATACGGCAGATCCATCACTTTATCAAGATTTACATCACTGCGCAAGACATATGATCTTCAGCGCCTAGTTGGATATATCTGGGAGGACGATCTCACACGACGTGAATTACGGAATCGTACAATGGCTGCAGCCAACATCAACCATGCAGGCTTCCAGCGTTGACTTGATGTTATAGTGTCCATCCTACGTGATTATGGACTTGAGGTGAGCCACCGCAAATCCCACTCAGCAGCTTGATCTAACGCCATGCTCTCGCAGTCCGTATCTATAACACCCGTGGAATATTCGGAGCACTGTCCGTTTCCTTACAATAATTTCATATACATGATTCAGCTTTCCTCACCTATGGTATCATCGACATTCAGTGCCAGGAGTACACGTCCTGGAACTGCGGCGCCTCTAAACTCTAAGACAACAGTCTTCCGCCTCAGTAACCCATATGCGAATGATTTAAACAATGCAAATCGGGTAGAGAATGAAGTGGCTGCGCAATACCTCTACCGCCAACAACTCAGTGCAAGTCACCCAGAATTGGCGTCCTTGGTACCTACCATATATGCTCGGGAGCCAAGTCGATACCCAGAGATATCCGACGAGACGGGTTTCGGATGGACGATATGTGAACATATGCCAGGTACCAATCTTGATGCTCAGTTTGTCAAGATGGATCTTCCGAAGAAGTTGGAGGTGGTCAAGCAGATTGCAGGAATATTCGCAGCCTTCCAGAAAATTATTGTCCCGGAAGAGTTAAGAGGTCACTTCGGCGGTTTGACTTTCGATGACTCGGGCCAAGTAGTCCGTGGGCAGATGTCCATTTGTCCCCCTGGGCCGTGGGAGGACTACACAGATCTGTGGGTTGCACGCCTACGCTGGCAACTGCACAATGCCGACCAGAGCCCTGCGCTGAAGGGTTGGCAGGAGTGCGGTCTTCGTGATCGTATTGATAAGCTGTTGAATGGGAATGGGATCGCTAAGTGGATGGAAAGGATAGACGTCACGCAGACCACACTGGCTCATGGTGACTTCAGTAAGTTGACAGATATGATCCATACTTCGAGTATCTTGGCTGATGATTATCAAAGCAATGAACAACATTCTATTTGACGACAGAAATCAACGCGTGACGGCCTTGCTGTACTTTGACTTTTCTTGTGTTACTCACCCTTCCCAGGACTTTTTCACTGGTCTTTGGGATATTGGTGATGGGATGCGCCAAGATGACAGCAGGCTGCGTACTGCTATTCTGACAGGCGAATTTGACGATGCAGCCGAGGATTTTTCTCCCGATGCTAAGATCGATTGGGAAGTTTCCAAAGCTTGGGATAGTACGTTAGCTGTGCAAGGTGTCATTCGACCGTCTCTGATACTTGGAATTGATAAGTTGGAGACTCTTTGGGCATTGGAAGACGCAATCTGTCCTTCTAATCTCAGCCATGAATTCAAGATAGAGAGAACCAAGCGCAAGTTTCCAGGAAAGCTGGGGGAGATTATCAAGGCGGCTACAGATAAGCTGATTGCCACACTGAACGAGCTAGAGGCATAATCAGTAAAGACTGACAATCTACGACTAACGCCTTTTCCGGATCTTCTAATTATGTAACCTAGGGTGCGTTGCTAGTCTTGTGACAGGGACTGGTTCCTATCATGTCGCTTATTTGAAGCATCGGAAGTTGACGCACCAAACCACTGCGCTAGCTGAACAAAATTTGAAGCTCCACACTAGGAACTAGCCTAATAGTGGTTATATGGTACGGCGCAATAGAAGTACTATACATCATAGCCTACATTGAGTGACGGGGATGGCCATAACGCGTGTACTCTACATCCCGGCTCATATTGAGTGGATCGTTCCAACTGAGTCCATGGCAAGCCCTATGGAGACTTAGTCCACCCTTGCCCGCGGTTGGAAAGTTATCATCACTGTAATGTTACCAGATGTCTCCCCCATCATATTGTTCATAAAAACATGTTAGCGAGCAGTGGTCAGGATGAAGGAAAGAAGACGAGAAAATTTCCCAGCGGCCCCCTCTGCCTTGACCTTATTGACTTGCACATCTCACGGTCTACCAATAAGCAATGATGGCGAGCAATATGTTGGGAAAACTAGTTTGCATTCTCACGCTAGTCACGCTGGCGATGTCTATCACTTTCAGAAGTTTGGATTCTGGAATCGATGTTACGTTGTTAACAGCACCTCCCGCCGACCACATGATCACGCTCTCCATTGGACTGACGATGAACAACATGGATGAACTGGACGAAAGACTCAAGGCGGTCTCGACTCCAGGAAGTCCGCTCTATGGCAAATACCTTGACAAGCACGACATCGAATCTCTTTTCTTTCCATCAACTGATGCATACAAAAATGTCACTAGCTGGCGTAAGTAATATGCTTGTTTTTGATTTTCTTTCTTTAGTTGTTGCATTTCTTTTTTCTTACAGTTCGAAACATGCGACTCGGGGAGTCAAGAGTACATCGTTAGGTGTCTGATTTCCATTAAAGCAAAAGTTCAGCCTCCGATAATTAGTCAATAACATCCTGAAAGTAAAATGCTAATACTGAGATGTATAGTGCGAAGTAATGGTGTTGAGAAAATCTCACAGCAGGGATCGAGCATTAACTTTGCGACTACAGTCGCAAACGCGAACAAGTTACTCAACACCGAATTCGCCTACTATGATATCGAAGGTGTGAAAAAACTTCGAACGAGGCAATATGATGTGCCTGATGAGGTGGCAGATCATATCAACCTAATTCACCCCACGACTTATTTTGGCAAATCGAGATCCATGATGAATACAAGGGAACTGGTGCAGGTGTCTCAACGAGAGACGACACCGTCTTACTCTAATACGACAACCAATTGCTCCACCCTACTGCAACCATATTGTTTCCGCGACGCTTATGGCGTGGAGGACTATACTCCAGACGAAAACAGTGGCAGTCGTGTTGCATTTGGTAGTTTCCTAAACAATTCCGCACGTTTAGAGGATTTCCATTTATACCAAAATGCATACGGCATCCCAGAGTCAAATTTCTCTACGGAGATAATCAACGGAGGGTTGGATCACCAAGACATCAACGGTAAAATCGGGGAAGCCAACCTCGACTCTCAACTACAGAGCGCAATGACGTATCCTCTCCCACAGATACAATATATCACCGGAGGAAAGCCACCATTTGTTCCAAGTGTTATTACTCCTGACGAGGAAAGTAATACAAACGAGCCTTGGCTGGATTTTTACGAATTCTTAATAAACAAGACCAACGACCAGCTACCACAGGTTATCTCGAACTCCTATGGCGAGGATGAACAGACAGTGCCACCCGAGTACGCTCGGCGGGTGTGTAACTTAATAGGTGTATTGGGGTTGCGTGGGATTTCTGTTCTCCAGTCCTCTGGGGATGGCGGAGTTGGAGTTCCGTGTATCTCGAATGATGGAAAGAACCACACTGAATTTTCACCGCAATTCCCCGCATCCTGCCCCTGTAGGTAGAAGCTGAATCTCAAAGTCGCGGTGGCTTTTGTGTTCTTTGCTCTTGGTAATCCTTACTAACAGATTCTGATAGATGTCACATCTGTCGGCGGTACTCAGTCCTGGGCTCCGGAGATTGGATGGTCCGGAAGCAGCGGCGGTTTCAGTAATTATTTTGCCCAACCTTGGTACCAAACGGGTGCTGTCAATACTTATTTGGACTCTGGCATCAACCTTGAGGCGAAGGAATATTACGAAGCCGGCGCATACGCAAATTTCTCGGGAAGGGCTTTCCCTGACATCTCGGCGCACAGCTATCACCCCAAGTACGTCCAATGATACCTTGCTTAGTCGAGTAAAGAAGAAACCTTGAAGCTGACATCACACAGCTATGCATTCTATATAGCCGATGCCGCAGAAGAAGGAGCTGGAACATCGGCTGCCGCTCCCGTTGCAGCAGGAGTGATCGCTTTGCTGAACGACGCTAGACTCCGCGCTGGAAAACCAACCATGGGGTTTCTTAACCCATTTCTTTACAGTCTTGAGATGGGCCCTCTCATTGACGTTACCTCAGGAACGTCAACAGGCTGTACTGGGACTACAGCGAGAACAGGGAAAGAAATTCCAGGTGCTGGTGTCATACCCAACGCGACGTGGAATAGTACGATTGGTTGGGATCCTGTGACTGGACTGGGCTTGCCATACTTCAAGGAGATGGTCAAGGTCGCTATGATGATTGTTTAAGTCGATGCATATCCCTAATATACAATAGACATACAGACAGGAGAATAATATCACTTTATGAGGATCAAGGCATTTCAAGGAAAATAAGAAAGCTTGAGCCATGATGCAGTGATGTCTATTGCCATGAGAATATCAAGTGCCTAATTAGACCACGTGGTGAAAATAAAGATTTGTGTAGAATGGCTTCACCATCCAGATGGATTTCACTTCGTACACCAGGTGACGGCAAATAGATCTATATTCAACGTACCGTATAAAGGGAATCCTTCCCTTCGTATGATGGCCTGTAGATAACGCCTTCCGGCGTTCGCACACTATGGCTGTGGTGGCTAGCCAAACAGTCTATGCTATCTATCTAGATACCGTCCTCGTACGAGACCGCAAATCCCATTATTCCAACAATTTGAAAGATTTATTACCAAATCCTTCACCCCGTTATACTGAAAGAATACGTCGAGGACGTTGACTACGCGGTCTTGTTCGGGTCATGTGCGCATCAGCGTAATGGTCCCAGTATTTTGTGATAGTTTTACAAATATAGACCAGGTTGTATCAATCTCAAGGTCGGGATAATCACCTCGTTATGTTAGTGGATTGCAAGACGCATGGATCTAGCAATCCTTACACCGGAACTATCGGTTCGAGCATTTATGATCTGACGATGGATTGCAGCTGCATACGCTTAGCAACCACTGCACCAGAACTGTTGTTTCAAGCATTTATGATCTGACGATGGATTGCAGCTGCATACGCCTAGCAACCACTGCACCGGTTGCTGGTTCAAGCATTTATGATCTGACAATGGATTGCAGCTGCATAGGGTTAGCAGCCACTGCACCGGAACTGTTGGTTCGATCATTTATGATCTGACGATGGATTGCAGCTGCATAGGCCTAGCAACCACTGCACTGGTTGTTGGTTCGAGCATTTATGATCTGACGATGGATTGCAGCTGCATAGGGTTAGTGACCCCTGCACCGGAACTGTTGGTTCAAGTAGTTTCATAACATAACGGTGGATTGCAGGACGTATGAATCTAGCAAGCACTGTACTGGAATTATCGGTTCGAGTAGTTTTATGATATGATTGCGGATTGCAGGACGTACTGTAACGGCACGGGACGGAATTCATTGGTTGAATGGAACATCAGGGATTTAGTTTTTGAAATTTGTTAAACGTCTTGTTCCAATCAACGCTAGCTATACTGACGTTGAGTTTCATGCAGAACCTCGGTTACAATTATGCTGCTGTACTGGAACATTGTTGTTCGGACTTTGTGTATAGAGGTAGTGATTTAGATATCCAGGGCTAGAATCGTACCGCCCACTACGGTCGTGGCGTTAACTGTTATAAATAGGACTGTGCTGAATTTTGAAACCCTCCTACTATCCAAATATCTTCGCCTAATTCAAATTTCTCACAACTACCTTCTCTACGTCAAGAAACCTTTGGCCCATCACCTTCTCATCATGAAGCTCAATCTTTTAAACCTGGCCTTCGCTGTCCTGGCTGCGCCAGCCGCTACAATGCCTGTAGAGCATAGTACGAAGCCAGGCGAAGTACTTGCCGATAAATTTTTGCTTGGCAGCAGCTATAAACGTGAAGAGCCTTCAAGTAAGGTGGACGTAAAGAGGAACAACGAGGTCGATGCCGATGAGTACGATCTCCGTTCTGCATGGGCCAAGAGGAACAACGAGGTCGACGCCGACGAGTACGATCTCCGTTCTGCATGGGCCAAGAGAAACAACGAGGTCGACGCCGACGAGTACGATCTGCGTTCCGCATGGGCCAAGAAGGATTAGTTCAACGTGGATTGAATATGCGCAAACTGAGACTGACACACTCGAGAATTAACGGCACACGTTCAACTACATCTTTTTTTCTCATGTATGGCACGCAAACACGGTGGAGGTCGTACGAAGTATTTGTGTGATGAAAGTTTAAATGTAGAAACAGACGATTCGTCTTGCATTTTCTTCATAGCTGTTGATTATAGTATCAATATCTACACATTCATTACTCTATTAGCAAACCGAGCTTGTTTCCTTTGATTTAATTGGTTGCTTCATTAAAGGGTCAGATCCTGAAAATACTCCCGCTGCAACATTGCACCAATAATAGGACGACGTAGTATCAGGTCTACCATCTTTTGTATATAGAGCTAGAAAGAGGCAGAAACTCAAAGTCACACAGTTATTGTCACTCGTGGCGACGGTCACGAAGGACGGGAGATCACAGACAGAAGGGGGGTTGGGTATGTAGCTGTACGTTGATTTTTCTGTTGTCTAATTCTTAATGATATTATGCTTAAGATGATGGGCCATGGCACTTCCAGAAGTTTAGTCAGGCTAGCTTCTCTTCGTGTAGTTAACTTACTATTTCTGATTTTACGATCGAAAGCAATGCTATATATACAATAGTCTTAGCTGTGGCGGAGAAGCAACGGAGGCAGGGTGGAAGATCTTTCTGCGCGCGGAATCAGAACGAAGAGCTCAGCAGAATGGCATATGAAAAAGGAAAGCCTCAGAATTTACTCAGAATTTACCTTGCTGAAGCGGGCGATAAGGCAGACCTGATATACTACCCGAGGCGTCTGTCTGCTGATTGACTTGTGCGAGCAGTCGCGCCATCGCATTTTGCTTGCTTTCCCTATATATTAACGGTATGTGCACGTCGAATAGTCACTCCGAGTAGACAATAGGCCTCATCTTTTTCGTTCGTCATGTGGCGGCTATGAGCCCAAGCCAGGCGCTCATGGGGGGTAAATCGACTAAGAGCGGTTCCGCGCAGTGCATTTCTGTGAATCTTAGAGATGCTATAGATCCCACTTTTCAGCGATAATTTGTCACCCAAAAATCCGCCATCAACTAAGAAAAACTTAACTAAAGCTAGTGCCAAAAGCGTTTGGAGCGTCCAGCCGCGGGTAAACCATCGGCTTTTCCTGAAAAATAGCTTTTACGACGCTCTTAACGTTTGTCCGTCTTCGCAGTTATTTTTTAAGATATCGGGTAAATAAGCATAGCATTAAGCAGCATTTTGGTATTAGCGGAATATTGAATTAATCGCTTTGGAAAGCTCCGTATTATTTAATTTGTCGATATAGCACGTATCGACCCAGAAATATCGTAAACCATCCGAAGCAGTCTGCTAATAATAAAATTAAAGCTTTTTATATCCTTTCTTATCTTAGCCGGCGTAATATTGGATATTATGGAAAGTAACCTCCTAATTATCGTCTCCCTATATATGCGAAAAGATAGTGTATTACGGAATATTCTCAATTAAATCCTTTGTTAAACCGAAGCTCCCATCCGTTTTAACTCTTAGGAGACGCATAGCCGGCTGTTTTTATAGAAAAATAAAGTAGATGATTTGCATACTAATAGCAAAATAATTCTATAAATATAGTCCCGAGATACCTTTTGCGAGTAGGGCGGGTTCAAGCACGATCAAACCTGAGCTCCAACCGAAAAAAGACCTAAGCTCTCCCCTTTCCTACAGTCTTCATTGATCAACTCCGCCTTGTTAAGCTAGGGCCAGATGTTGCTATTATCCAAGTTGAAGTTGCGCAAACCTGTGGATTGGCCGGTGCCGAGTGGAGGTGCTCGTCATGCGAATTCAGTCTTCTGCGATTTGCAATAAGGCCTTACCAGGCTTTGCGAGAGCTCTGGGAACTGTAATGAATGTATAACTCGATTCAAATAGTAGATTGAAAATGAACAAAGATGTAGATAGCCTGCGTATATACAGTTGTCATGGCCAGCTTCTGCGGCCATGTACGGAGCGCCTGCGGTCAATTGAGGCGTTCAAATACTTTTCAGAGAATTTGCAGACTTTTCCCCAGAAGACGAGTAGATATACATGTTTAAAAGACTCACAGGCTCAGTACTGGAGTAGATAGCTATGTACTACTAGGTATTCATCTCATCCACGACTCAACGTGGGGACGAAACAGTGAAACAATCAGGATCTCCCGGTCCACTTATTCAAGCTTCAATTATACATGGCCAATCCAGGGCTCAGCCACACCAAGGATTCGGTGCGACGGTGATCTCGCTGCGCCACGCCCAAACCTCATGAGCTCCAACAAAAGCCGAATACTTCTTGGTTCCCATTTTCTGCGTCTTGAAAAGTTCTGAGGGGCATTACAAGATGGAACGGGCTTGACGCCACACCCGAGTTGATCATCCAAAAACTCCCATATTCAGTCCGGTGAATCATACACCATGGACGCCTAGTTGGGAGGCTCTTCATCGGATGTATGCAATGAAAGACCAAGGCGAAAGTGCCATGCATCAAAATGCAGGCAGCGACGAATTCCTCCAAGCTATTGGGCTAATATTCGTGAACACTCGAGTTGTTGAATGCCAACACCTTTTGTGCGACAGTGTCTTTCTAGCGGATTTTCGGCCAAATGTTTCTTTTCTTCTTCCTTTATTTTCTTAATTTAAAAAAAAAAAAAAGAACCATAGACCCTTTGTTAGCCTTTGAAACGAATAGCTATCTGGCGATTAAGAATAACTCAAATCGGGACCGATGGGATCGCACAGAGGGAGGGACTACGAGCGGTGCGGGAAGCTTGGCATGGATATCACCGCCTGCTTGCTTGTCATACTTTAGGTATTCTTAGCACACCAGCCCCCCCGCCACGTGCCTATTCGCTAGCGGTTTGAAGGGCTCCAACGGCCCGCCTCCGCCCTTTACATAGGGCTAAATCATACATGTTAAGAGTCCGCGCCGCAACGCTGCACATTTCCATCGTCACAATTGACTCGACACAGCCAGTCACGATACTGGCAGGATCTCAATGGGACCAGGGGAGCTTCTATTCTGTACGCACAAGATGCCATGGCCAGGCAGCAGGATTCGGGGCTCTGCCTCTCTGCCTGCCTGCCTGCACTTCAATATCTGCGCCGCAATGACATTTTTGTCGGTCATACGTCAATTGGTCTACTGCTTCAGGCTGAGAAACATTACAAGATGTCTTGCCTATAAGTTTATCTCACTGCCGCCTCAAGATCCTTTGAGCGACTCGAGTCTTTCGAATCTCAATCGCTCGCCCAAACCATTCCATCCAGTGCAAGTAAACTATACAACTTGCACAGCTTATTGCCCAAGTGTAACTTGCTACTTCAAAAAGAAACAATAAATCCTTCATTATATAGACATCTTCAAGGTCTACGACAACTTGGATTGATCAAGATGTTGTCAATCGTAACAATTGGCGTACGAGTCTTTGCAGTAAGTGTCCCAGGACTAGCCAAAACCCCAAACCCTGTCCTTGCTCATGAGAGCAGAGAAGTAGAAGAAAACTAGAATTAACGCCTCTCTTTCCCTTCGTATAGCTCCTCTTTGGCGCCGTCGTCCTCGGCTTGTCCGTCACCCTCGCCAAGCAACAGCACGAGGGCAAGCCCCCGTCCGAGACATCCTTTGGCAGCTTCACCGGCGCCTTTGGCATCATTGCGTCGGGCATTGGCCTCTTTGCCCTCTGGTTCGACAAGATTTCTCCCCTGGTCACCATGATTATTGATGCGCTGGCCTCTATTTTTTACCTGGCTGGCGGTATTGTAAGTCGGGACCCTTTCCCCTTGTAGTCCCCCATTCTCAGTGTCCGCCTTGCGGAGAGTTTTTGTCTCCTTTCTTCTGGCCCTTCCCCGCTGACCTATTAAAACTTTCAAGTCCCTCGTCCTCGCCCTAAAGTCCGTCAAGAGCTGCACCGGCAAAGACGCCGTTTCGGAAGTCACCCGCTTCACCAACAAGATCCTCAACGGCGGCTGCACCACGAAAAACGGCCAGCTCTGGTGCTACGTCGGCAGCGACGCCGACAACGACGGCATCCACCCGGACCTCATTGGCCGCTGCCAGCGCGCCCAGGCCGATTACGTCTTTGAGTTCTTGGGCTTTATTGTCGGGTTGGCCCTCATTACCCTGGGGTTCCTGGCGTGGCGACGCGGTGGCTCGAGGACGCGTGCTTATGCGTAAATGGCCCCCAAAGAGGCTGCTTCTCTGAGCCGTCCCACCCAGGAGCAGTGCGTCGATCCAGGTCGTGTGGACCAATCTGGGCTGTGGTTAGTCTTGGTGGGTGGTGGTTGCATGATTGTAATGTTAGTTCGTGATACCCCTGTGGAGAAAGGTGTAGGTGTAAGCAGTTGCTATCGCCTTGGAATCGCAGTACTGCAGTACCGGATATAAAGTCAATGATCGCTCTCCTTCCGGTGTGTGCGTATGCCTTTATAGATAGAAATAAACAAACGCGAGCAGACCCGTCACTGGCCGCTGCCAGTCAATTCCAAAACCTTTGGTCACTTCAAAGTCATTTATTAATTTTCATTTTGCATCAGCTGATCTAGCTCTGTCTGGCAGGGTCCAGCTCAACCTTGTTGCCGGTAATCTCATCAATCTCTGCCAGAATTTCAGGAGTGAGCTTATCCAAAATAGTCAGAGCCTTGACGTTCTCGACAATCTGCTGCGGCCGGCTGGCACCGGTAATGACGGACGATACATTGGGGTTCTTGAGACACCAAGCCAAGGCAAGCTGGCTCTGAGTGACACCGAGCTTGTCGGCAACGGTCTTGAGCTTCTTGACCTTGGCAATGTTGTCGCGCCAGGGCTCGTTGCCGTATTGCGAGCGCATAAAGTCGGCAAAACCGTCCTTGCTGACGCCAAAGCGCGAGTCCGACGGCGGGGCGTCGACTGCATCGTTGTACTTGCCGCTGAGCAGGCCCATCTTGATTGGGCTGAAGACGGTCAAGCCCAGACCCATGCGTGAGTAGAGCCTCTGGAACTCGCCCTCGACCTTCTTGCGGTCCAGAATGTTGTACAGGGGCTGCTCAACAATGGGGCCAATCATCTTGAGGTCCTTGGCGATGCCAACGGCCTCGGCAATCTCGTCGGCGCTCCACTCAGAAGTGCCCCAGTAGCTGCAAATTATGTTAGCGAATCGCTGCAATAGCAGAAACATTTCAACGTACAAGGCCATTCCCTTCTCAATAACATAGTTGAAAGCGCGGACTGTCTCCTCCATGGGAGTCAGGCGGTCCGGTCGGTGCGCGTACACGATATCGACATACTTGAGGTCGAGACGCTCCAAGGAGGCTGTAAGACCCTCGATAATGTGCTTCCGCGAGAGACCGTGGTTGTTTACCAGGATCTCACCGTTCACTGCTCCCCAGTTGATCTGTTGTTTATTGTGAGCCTCGCAGCCCTTTGCTCTACTGGGTTGAATGCATTTCTTCTCACCTTGGTGCTAATGACAAGGTCACTTCTCTTCCATCCATACTTTTGGATGGCCTTTCCCATGGCAATCTCCGACTTGCCGGCCGTGTAGCTAAAATTGATGAGTCAGTTGTGGTCTTTGCCGCAGAATCATGAGAGAAGGGCCGGGACAGAGCGTACTTTTCAGCGGTATCGAAGAAATTGACGCCCAGGTCATAGGCCTGCTTCATGCATTCAAAGGTCTTTTCTGTTCACCAGAAGCATTACGTTAGCTGATGCCCCCAAATGACCGACAGGAGCATATCATACCATCCTCGACATGGCCACCGTAGGTGAGCCAGCCACCCAATGCAATGGCCGATACATGAAGGCCAGAATTGCCCAGTCGACGGTAGACCATGCCGGTCTTTCTCGGTTCTTCCCAGGCCATGGCTGCGTTTTGAAGTCTAATTAATGACACCCTAAAAAGAAGCAATGTTGAAGCAAGGGAGTGGTCGATCACGCAAGATGTCAAAATTAAGACGCAAGACTCCTTTTGAGCAGACAGACCCTTACACTCACTCAACGAAACAATGAAGAGTGTGTGAAGAAAAAACGACAGCGGTTGGAGAAGTCTCATGGAGAAATTCTCGGAGTTGTATTCCCCAAAGCAGCGGAGCGGGGTGAGCAATTGGGTTCAGGTGGGGCAGTCGTATTGCGTGCTCATGCTCCGAGAGGCCACCGCCGACCGGATAGGTGATAGCGGCCGGATACCTCATTTAGCTTCCCTCCAGCTCAGCGGCAAAGGGATCTTTGGCGGTCGCTAGCATGTGGCGTCGGGAAACTGCCTCAAATCACTGCCATCGACTGCATGACCACTACGGCGAGCACTGCCTGTGGTAAAGAGGAAGGACATGCTCATATACTCCAGCGTTGACATGAGGAATTCTCGCCCTTCTGTAAAATCAGGGGTCTTGTTTTCATCAATTTGGCTCTCCTTGGAAACACGCCAAGCAAGTCGTTCGAAATAGTCGGTTGATGACACCAAATTTGAGGGGGGTGCCGTTGCGAGCTCCCCAATCAGCCCAATTCAACGTGTTACAGTTCATATTTAATTGGTGGTGCTTATCTGTCGACAGCATACCTGGAGAAGTTGCTGGCACATGTATTGATGAATCTTTTGCGAGTTGTAATTTTCACTTCCGATCACGTTTCAAGCTATCAATCGCATCAAGGGCCGTTTGTTGCTTGAAACATTGCGTCCAATTGTTCTCCCACTTCATGATGTAGATTCCTGCCATTGCGCGGCTGTGCTTGTTCCCATTTCTTCATTACTGTTTCGAATCTGTTCAAACACCATGCGCGTCAACGGTGATGGAGTCCTGACCAGCGGTGTACTAAAGTCCAATGGTGGCCAAGACATCTGCTGGTTTTGCTGGTCCAGCGAGTGGTAATTGGGCGTAGTTGAGCCAGAAGGTCTCAAGATATTAGTATCTGCCAAGATCTCCTCTAGCTCTGCCCACGCTGAAGGATGTAGCAGAGTCCCGGAAAAGGGACTTCGGTTGGGGTCAATCTCAGTCTCTTCCGGCTGTTCTTCAATGCGCCCGCTGCTCCCCAGATCCACCACTGGATTTGGCGCAATGGACGCCATCCTGAGGTATAGCGATGCAACTAGGGATTTGTTACCACCCCGAGAGGATGAAAGTATCTTTTGAAGACCCAGCAATACCTCTTCGGCCTGGTCGGCTGGATTGACCGAGTTGTTGCTCTTCACAGCATCAATGACTGCAGTGGCAATGTCATAGGTTTTGAATTCCATAGTTGGGCCATGAGCCTCAATGGCAGTCTTTGGCAGATGCGACATGAAGTTCAAGAATTCCTTGGCTATGCGGATGGGACTGCTTGCCATGGTGGCGACCCCAAACCTCACAGCTGCCCGCCACAGTACTGCACGCATCCATTGACGTGTAACGAATATGTCTGCCTTTTGGACATCATTACTGGAATCGTAATCGATGGCATTATCCTGGAGATGGTCTTGTAACAACCCCAAGCAGCCTCTTGCGGTTGTTGTCAGGTTGGACAAGTCAGAGTCGGAATTTTGTAGGATATCAAAGATGCCAGACTGATCAAACATCCAAAACAAATTGACTAGCTTCAAGAAAGCGGGCAGAACATGGGCCTGGTCATCTCCGACCGGAGTAGGTAGTATGATGGCGGGTTTGAGGATGACCGGGAGTTTGTGAAGCATTGCGACGCCTCTCTCCGTAACAAAGAGCAGCCACAAGACACGGCGCCGCATCTGCTGCTCCGTCTCGGGCAATCCGTCGTAGGAAGACTCTCGCTCCAATCGCATCATTTGGGAAATGGTTATTGCTTGCCTCAAGTATAAAAGACTTTTCCCGCCACCCGGCGTCTGGTTTTCATGATATATGTGCAAGAAAAAAGCGACGCGCAGGACATCGAGGCTCATTTGGTTATCATGATCTTCCAAGCTTGTGCGTGGCACCTCGTCTGGTGAAAGCGTTTCCAGGCGAAGTTGTGCTATAGTAGCTAGGCGAATAGTGGTGGCCAAGAGATTGGACAAAGGTGTATTGGACGCAAGAGCATGCATCAGCTCATCAACATTGACTATCGGCCATATTGGATACAACCTCTGTCGATAAATCTCGAGAGCATGGACGAGACTTGTGGTCTGCTGCCGAGGTGGGTCAATCGGCCTAGCAGCGTCAAAGTGAAAGATTCCTGGCACTGGGGCATCGACGGGCAGCGAGTGATGGTTGTCGTCATTGAAGCCATCCAAGGGCGCCGTCTGAGCTGCAGATATCTTTTGTATCGTCTTGGCGCGCAGGGTCCTCGGCCCTCTTGTCGCCTGGAGGCGCTTAAAGGTACATGCTATTCCACTCGCAACGCAACCGCGACATGGCGACGTCTCGGAGCACTTGACCTTTCTGATTTTGCAGGCGTCGCATGCACGCTTCACGAGGTTCGTCCTTGGTGCGGATTTTGCCTTGTTGTTTGGCATGGCGTCGTTGTAGTCGCAAGGTACAAGACTGTGGATGTGGATGTGGAGTAGGAGATCCAAGTCCTGGACTGTCGCTGAAACCTTACGATGGAATCTCTGGCTTTGAGATTTAGGTCCGACAGATTGGGTCGTGGCGAAGCGACAGGATACGCATCATGGCGACACCCCGGTGCAGTTTCCCTGTACTGTACAGGGCGGGCGCCTACGAGGTAACTGAAGATAATTGTAAAATAATGTAGTTGATTCAAAGTCGGTTACATGGTCGACGCACTTGAATCGCGCTGCAGAGCTACTCGCAGACCCGATCACTTGGCTCTTCAGAACTCTCGGGATGAGGAGTCTTGAAGATAAAAGAAGGATAATTGCACAGTAGCACTGGAAGCTCAAGATGTTTGGCAAGTGATGGGAGCAACGGTCTTGGGGTTGATTCGTGACCACTTACAGGACACCCAGGCCCCCCGCTAAAATTGCACAATACAGCCCATGACAGTGGCCTCGAACACCATGGACCCACATGGGCGATCGCGTCATCCTCGGCTCCCCGCAATATTCTTTTGCTGTCTCTCTCTACGGGAGTTTTGAATGTGTTTTATTTCAGCGACTCCAATGAATCCATGGTACTGAATGCAGGGTGTCCAACGGTCAAGTCACGTCACGTTTTGAAATGCACATCGCGGACTTAGTATGCCTCTTCCACCAGAGGACTACTAGGTACAGTGGCACAGGCCATTTCCCCAACACTTGCATACATACATAATCTGCAATCCTTCATCTCGGCACGGGTCAATCCTTCGAGAAATTCGCAGGGATCCGAAGCTCAATTATTTTGCTCAAATGTCTTGATAAGATCGTTAAACAAGAACTCGTAAAACATTATAGAGAGTCGCAACAGACTCGCCATCATTATGTTCAATTTGCACATATCGCGGTCGTCCCGTGCCTATTGCCCCGCTATTTCAGATCAAGAGTTATAACGAGCACATTGTGGGTACGGCTCCGGTTCTCAAATGAGGAGAAAGAATACTGTGTATACAAGTCAGGAATGTTTCAATGTCTCATTTTCTCCTACCCGTCCATCGAATTCCAATATGAAATCACACCGCAACCAAAATAATGATAAGCTAAGGGAGAGATACAGAAAGGAACACAAATCATTCATCATCCTCGCAACCATTGTTCATTGTTAGACTCGGCATGTGGTGAATCAAGTTGACGTTGCTTGCAACTATTGTCTACTTACCTAGCATCACTTTCCAATTTATACCTCCTCTGCTTCTATTGGGTTTTACGCCTGCAAGTCAAGAAAGTCTTTACAATTTTTCGTCATGTTCCAAAGGGATACCGATGACACGCTAGTGACTGTTTCGCTGTGGAATGTGCTGTCGCTAACAAGTTTTGTCTCGAAAACCCACGAGTACCAGGTAATACATATTGGTGCAAATCGGTGATAGTTTCCCGGCAAGGGGATCATTGATGTCCAAGAGTGAATTGGTTCACAGTCAAGAGACAGCAGATCTCTTCTCGGCCGTTGCAGTGTTTATATGGGTACCTAATAGCGCAACGATTGAGCGGCTGCTCGTAACACATTTCTACGGATTTGTCGGAGTGGGCGGGCAAAAAGTGGCACTAAATTCTACATAGTAGAAGTTGGGGAACGTTGGATATACACCTAACCTAGCCAACAAGGACAGCGTCCAGCCAAGAGTTGGTTGATTTATAGTTACCTAGACCTTGCCTGCATGGTTCTATGGGATCTGTCAAACACGTGAAATGATAGACGAGGCAAAAGGTGGATTGTTCACTTTTAAGCTTACATTAGATATGATTGATCTCGGATGTTTAATTGCAGACTCCAGGACTCTGTTCGTTTCATAGTGTGGCGCAATTACCAGAGCTGGCCGTCTAAGCGTGCCACAGTGGGCTATAGTTCATGGCTGCAAACGTGCTCTTCCAAAGCTGTTTGCAGACCCAAATTGGCTCGAAAACTAGCCAATCATGCCCGGGGACAAGACCCCAATCCAGTAAGGCTATACCTCTAAGTACCCGTGGGCCCCCTCTGAGGCGCTCATGGCAGCGGCTGAAAACAGACAGATTCACATTGGTCTTTCAGCTGCATCTGCGCTACTGATTCCAGGGCCACTACTTTCATTCACTACCTGCTAGTTTGGACGCCATGCTCGTTGCTCAATGATTTCAACTTCGTATCAGGTATCTCTACACGGGACGACTCCTTTTTTTCTATCTTGCCTTGTTCGTCAATCGGCATTCCTGGGCTGAGACCTGCCCAGGTAGGTGCCCACGGTCATGTTGGGGTAGAGTAGATCGTATAATTAGACTGCATTCCCAAGAACTGAGTATGGTGCCTCGAGATTCATACCTCCGAATCTCCTCTTGCGGTTATTCTCTCTTTGTATGCATTTTGTGATTTCACGTTTATTGCAATGATTCAGCCCTGCACTGTGCCCGGCCTGAGTTCGCTCTCGCCCAAGTCACTCAAGAATGTCGTTCTCGGTTTCGGGCTCGTGTTGCTTGTTTTCCTAGTTGGCAGCACATTTCCGTCCCAGAGATTAGACAAGCTCAACATACTCGACTCTCCTCTGTCTCCGTCTATGTCCAACGTGACGACCGAGGCGCGGTTCAAAAGACCAGATGGAGTCAATATCACGGGCGTCGTCTTTTACGGCCGCGCTCGTTTGGTCGACATTCTTGATTGCTACCTGCAAAAGAACTTGGCTGTAAATGGAGGTCTCCTGGACAAGGTCCTTTTCATGATGAACACCGACGACAAGGAGGACTTGGCATGGTTGGGTGACCTTGCTGATCGTGTTCCGCAGTATGAGATTGTCCCGGTAAAACGTCCCAACAATTCCCATGGCTGGGGTGGCTTCAATCTCATCTGGGCGTCTCTCACGGATCCCGACACCATATACTTGAAGATTGACGATGATATTGTCTGGATTGACGATGACGCCGTTCCCCGTATGATTGAAACTCTCATCAAGCATCCCGAGGCCCACGATATTGCCGGCAACATTATCAATAGCCCAATTACGAGCTTCATGCATTACCATCAAGGCGCCGTGCGTCCATTCCTTCCAGACTTGAAGGCTCCAGAGCAGCTGAGCCCACCGACAGACTGGCGCACTTCACATCTACCTTTTTACGATGGCCCGTTATCCGAAAAGTACGACTGGGATCCGCAAAACGCAAAGCCCAACGCCCACTTCTCTGTTGGTGACAAAGGCGGCCCGCCCTACGAGAATCACCGTTGGCTTCCACTGCCGGATACGAGCGAGAATATTCTGAGGACACCCATTTCAGGCGCATCGTACGACGCCTTTGGCATGGGCTGGAAAAGTTGGGCCATGGGCGCTCAGCAGCACTATAGCCTCCTACGCAACATTGAAGAGAAGCGCCTGGAACGCTACTGGTTCGGCGACCACCAGGAGGGCATCTGGGATATGCAATATACCCGTTACAACCTCAACTTTTTGGCCATCTGGGGTTCAAGCGTCGCCAAGGCACTGCCCGGAAGCGACGATGAGCAGGATATGACGGTCACGATCCCGCTTCGCCTCAAGAAGCCCTGTCTCATCAATACCCGCGCCCTTGTTGCCCACTTTAGTTTTGGCATCCAGACTGAAATTTCCCACACCGACTTACTGGACCGCTATCGCCTGTACGCCAACGAACATGTCTGCGCTGCCGACAACCAAAAAGCACGCCTTCCATTCCACGGCGGCGGTCAGGGTTGAGGCGTGAGATAATGCAAATGTCCCACATCAGAATTGTGCCCCGAAATAGCACCAGCTTTACAGCCCCAAGAATTGGCTCATAGATTTACTTTCACCGCTCGTTTCGAGGGCAGGTCTTGCGTCTGTCAAGGCAGAATGACTGCCATACAACAACACAGAAATTGACACGACAGACACGGATGCCGTCGCTTTGGGCAGGAAATTCGCCAACGATGTAAATGTCCTTTGACAAGAGCTATGTTAGCAGTCAGCATTATGGAAGAAGAGACATGGCTCGACCAAAAGACCAGTCGGATGAGGTTAAAATATCTTTCCGACAAAGCCAAAAAAGGTGACACTTTCACCCACGATCATTGAGCTTGGCAGTGGGGATGAACTTGATCAAACGAGCTGAAGGATAAAGATTGACGCCAAAAATTGATGTAGAGCTCGCCCGTATCCAATAGCCGAGATGTACAGTCGTTGAAGTATTTACGGCGAAAGGTCACGTAGACGGTGGACACAGATCCAGATGACATAGACTCGGATTCGGTGTATGGAATATGCTGGTAGAGCAATGTCTATAGAGAAGGTCATCTTCATTGGCCGAATCCTCGGTTGGAGCTAGCAGCTCACAATGACATGTTCTTCCACATGTTTTAAGATTTCAATAGAATCGCATAGTCTGAAATACCAGTACAGAGCCAACTCATGGTTAGAGGCGAATCCACTTATTTCATGCACATTAGTTGGCCATGCCTGGCAACAGCTTGGAGACGACAAAACCCCAAAGTGCAGTGCGCTGTGGTCTGAATTCAATATGAAGGTACCACCACCATTCAATCGTTGCTACCCATGGTCATACCGCGAACATGACCTTTGGCTCTAGCGCCTTGATGCCACTTTCTACACTGTTCGTCTCCCAGGTCTCATCATTATGGTCGCCCAATCAATGGCAGGCGGGACCGTATCGCCCGCGGCTCGGATGGGGTCAGCGTGGGTGGCTACTGACATGAAATTGAATATTAGGCTGCCAGGGAGATGGCACATTTCTGCGTGGATGCTTCCGGGTCCAACATGGACGATGAAGGCAGTGGCATCACCAAACATAATTGATGCCATCCCCCTTGCCGAAGGCGGGTATGTCGGTATGCAAATGCCATTGTAATTGATCAGCTGTGGAGGAAGTCACAAATTCACGGCTTGTTGGGGGCTGATCACCAATTCATGTCAGTAAGTACGATGCAAGAGTGAGGTCATCCTTTGCTGATTGTTTACATAGGTATATATATCCATCTTCCCCCAGATCCATCAGCTCCTCGTAGTCTCTACTCTACACTTTACATACCACCCCATCTACAATCCACACACTTTACATACCATCCATACACCATACTCTCTCTTTTCCTCGCCATGTTCACCCGCCTAGATCACTACGCCAACGAAAACGCCGCGCATATCAGCCAAAACACTATCCACACACTCTCTCTTCTTTCTCATTACCTCACTGTCGAACACCATGACAACGGAAACAACATCGAGCTCTAAAATTGGCGGTTACCCATTTCATCTTCTAATCTGATGGCCAAGCTGTTCGACTTCATTCTTCGGATACCTCCGCTCAATACAACCTATGACGATGACTCTCGACGTATAATTCACAAACCAGAATAATCCGGAAAGATCAAAGCATTCGTCTCTTTACAACTCAGATTTACCTAGTCCTCCACCTCCTATTGCCTTTCCACTTGCTCCGGCGAAAGAGAGAATTTCTTCAGGTGAGTTTTTTCTTTTTCCTTCCCCTATCTTTCATACAAATATGGTTGCTTTTGCAACCTATACAATTCTGAAAATACCAGTTGACTCATTTTATCAAGACGGAATGCGTTGGCCCCGTCATCAATCACAGTACAGATTGCTTTGTGCGCTGCCAGTCGACCCCATGCACGAGATATCCGACCAGCACCTCTCCCTTTGACTATATGCCTTCGACGAGTACACCACCCATCCATCCCTACCCAGAACCATCGGCGGCTGCCCACCCTATCTGTTACATGCAAGACAACGTACCAGTTGTTACCCAAAGCGCTACCACAACTAGGACGATCCTCATAGGAATTGGCTGTTTTCCTTATACTTTGCGAAAAGGATTTCGCTGCTTCGTTATACTTTTGCCATCACTGCATTCAACTTCATAAGTACACTTCGAAATGGAAATTGAAAAACTTGACCGGAACAACCTATGTCTAGCCGCGGCAAGAAAAGGGCAAGGTCGAAGAAACAGGGAAGACTTTTTGATCATTGTGGCTAGAGACCATTTGAATAGATTAGGCATGACTCTCGACGAAAATTGGTGTCTCACTATACTTGGGGGGAAATTTCTCGCTGGGCTTCGGATACACATTTGGAATTATGCTCTAAAGAACCACAGTGACTTTTTATCACTACGTATCACATTGGCGTAGATAGTACCCACCGCCAACCTTCTGCTTTGGTTTAGTATATTAGATAGCTCATAAAGATCAACCTGGACTTCTTTCACAGGCTCCTTCATTGGTTTCATCCCTTTAAATTTGGCGCAGGCGAGACTACATGAGGATTGTGCCCATTTCCCGTTTGCTTTTCATCCTTTCCCGTATTTACTTCAAGACTCGCGTAGAACCATAATTCATTCTATTTATGGTTGGAAATTATTATTCTCAACAACCATTCATGAAAATCCAACTTGTCGCCCGGGTTTCTTTGGGAAAAGAAATTTACCAAGCGGTCATCTCACTCTATTGTGCTCGTGGGGAATGATCATGGACAATTCAGAGTATATCATGGTCTGTTCCGGCAGCCTGGTTATATAATTATGCAAGGTCTTGAGAAAACACAGGTTCACAGGGTGCCAAATTCTTTATACTTCAGAGACCTTTGACCGAAAAAACGGCATTGATGTGGATTAGTAAGTGCTTGAATAATTCCATCTTCTAAAATTACCCCTCTGCTCCAAACCGCTTGCTTCAAGGTATCCCACTAAACACTTGGTATCTTTATAAAGCACAATTTAAGCACTAGCCTTTTCGTTCTTGAGGAACTCGGCAACCACCTGGGGGAAGCTCTCAACAACGGAGCCCTTGTCGGCCTTCCAGCCGAGCTGCTCGGCCCGCGAGGGCTTGAGGCGCATGTTGATGCCGTACATGATGGCAATGTGCATGGCCCACGAGTCGAGGGCGGGCGGGGGCGCGTCGGGGTCGTAGTCACTGCCGGCGATGCTGGCGCGTGCGGCCTCGGTGACGCTGACGGACTTTATCTCGGCGCTCCCAATGACGCCCTGGTCCTTTAGGACGGGCGCCAGGCCTTGCATGAAGTCGGCAAAGGATATGTTCTCGCCGACGCCAAAGTAGTAGGCCTCGGGTCCCCAGAGGGGGAAAGGCGCGGATACTGCCGTGCCGGCCAGCTCGGCGGTGGCCTTGTCGACGAGTATGATGAAGATCTTGGCCAGGTCCGAGACGTCGATCCACGCGTGAATGTTCTCGCCCTGGTCAATCTGCCAGCCCGACTTGAAGGCGCGGGCCGTGAGGAAGATGGCGGGCGTGGTAATGGGGGTGGGGTGCTCAATGGAAGGGCTCATACCGCCGACGAAGCCGGGCGAGACAATGGCCACATTGACGTCCGAGGCGCCGTCGCGCACAATCTTGTCCGTCACGGCGTGGGTGTAGGCCTCGCCCTTGAAGCCGATGATGTCCTGGACGTCGGTAATGTCGTCCCACCAGTGTGCATCCTTGGATCCCGTGGGCTCGTCCCAGATCAGCGAGGCGCCCGATGTGTGAATGTAGTACGGCTTGTTGGGACCGCCACGCGCCTTGAGGCCAGAAAGGATGGCCTTGATGCCGGCATCGTGGGTGATGTCGGGAGACGTGTTGACTACAATGTCGGCCTCTTTGCTCGCCTTCTCGAGGAGCTCGAGATCTGTGGTTGTGCCGACAATGACCTCAACCGAAGGGTACTTGGCAACCAGACGGGAGCCCTTTGCCTCATCTCTCACCAATGCCTTCACCTTGGCATCCGCATACTTTTGGAGCAGCTGGTCGAGAACAGCACCACCAATGTGGCCAGTGCCACCAACGCTATAATCGTCAGTTTTGGAACTAAAGTATTTAGGGGCGTAGGGCATACACCGCAAGAAGAAAAGAGAGTTTGCGCGGCGGCGGCGGCGGCGGGCAGACAACTGCCGGTGTCAGCTATTACTTACAAAAAGATGTTCACCATTGTGCACGTGGTCAAGGGTATTGTGGTTTCAGAACGGAAATGGTCAGAGTTGCAAACATCAAACGGTCAACTGCCTAGAAACTCATCTTATATTGGCGGCCCCTCCCCGCTGAGAAATATTCTTTACTTATTGCCTCCCCCAACCCCACTCCGTTGATGGGTCGTTGATTCAGGGGTTCGCGGAATGGGGCCAAGGGAGCCTCGCGGAATGGAGCCCCAGAAATGGCGGTTGTGGAGCTTTATGCATTTCGGCAGCGATTCAATTGGATTCACTGCCCGAGCCATCAGTAAGCATCGTGGGCGTGCCAAGTTGATGGGAATTGAACGCGGGGCTTTTATGCGGGAACTCGGTCTGGACGATCAGACCGGCCAGGCCAATAGACTCTTTTGCTTCCTGGAAACGGCGTATTTTTTGATCCGGGTTGTCGAGTGCCGGAATGATGATGGGTACCCGGTCATATATCCACGGACCATTTTGCTTGTATACTAACTAAACTAAAATCTACGCTGCGACCGGGGCCTCGGTAGATTCCGCAACGGCGGCAGTATCAATTTCAACTCTGTTCAACAAGGCCAGACCCTCTACGTGGCCTGTTTGCGGAAAGAAGTCAAAGCCCCTGAGGCTCTCAATCTCATAGCGGACCTGCTTTTGTCCTGGGGTTGCAGCAACTGCCTCACCCTCGCCAGCCTCGCCTCTGACTAGCATGCCTACATCACGAGCTTGGGTATGTACGTTGCAGCTGACATAGACTACCCTCTTGGGACCAAACTGCAACAATTGACGAAGGAAGTTGGCGTCGCAGCCCTTTCTCGGCGGATCCAAGATGACGACAGTCTCATCTGCAGGATAACTGACGTTCTTAAACAGCTCTCCGGCATCAGCGGCGATAAAGTTGGCTTGAGTAGGAGGCAGGTTATTGGCTTCTGCGTTCTTGCGAGCAGCCTGGATAGCCTTGGCATCGATATCGATACCAGTGCTGCTTTGGAAAACAGAGGATAGCGTGATGGTAAAGAGACCAGATCCCGAGTAGGCATCAATGAGATACTTGATGGGCTTGGATGCGTCCGGCGTCGGCGGCATTACGTTTTGTCGGATGTGCTCAGTGAAGACGGGGAGTATCGAGTTGTTATTTTGGAAGAACGAGCCTGCAGAGTTCTTGAACACAAAGTCGTCAATGTACTCAGTTGATGTTCCGTTATTGTCGGTGATGCAGGTCTTGTAGTCGATGTGGTTTTCACCCTCGACCTTGATAGAGTTTTCGGGCGATGGGGATCGGGCTCTGGAAGGAGACGCAGTCTTGGGAACTCGCTTTGTGTCCTCGCGCAACAAGATCGTACCTCCCTTGAGATACTTTTTGTATTCAACCTCCATTCTGGCTCGCTCTAGCTTCATGCCAAGTCGTACAGCATCCGTGCCAATGGGGCAGTCCTCAATGTCCATGGTCTTGTTGCCACCCTTGGGAGTAAATCCTATGTTGGGCCGACTCTCGAACGGTTGCACATTCTTCTTCTTGAACCAGCCCTTTGGACCATCGAAATGAGGGGTGAGCTTGGTTCGGTAATTATACTGCAGGGGACTGCCAATGGTGTCTTGAATGGCCGGAACTAGTTCTGGAGGCAGCTGCGAAAAGTTGCGGAATGCCTTTTCGACGATGCGCTTCTTGAGGCGCAATTGCTCAGAGTAGTCGAGCATCTGGAATTGACAGCCAGAGCAAGAGGCAAAATACTTGCATTGTATCCTGCTGTCGTCGCGAGTTGGTGCAGGCTTGACGACAGAAATGAGATCAGCCACCGTGTAACCTTCCCTCATGTGGCGGTACACCTTGACCTTGATGGTGTCGCCAGGAATGACAAACGGGACGACATAGACCTGCTTGAAGCCTTTCTGCTGTGCCAGACCTTCTCCCGTCGATGAAATCTCCACGACCTCGAGCTCAATCTCGCTACCTTCTTGCGGGAGCGCCTCCTCTACAGCAGTGCCCTCTTCGGCATTGCCTTCTGTGGGGGGTGGCGATCTCTGGGATGCAAGAAGTGCTTCAATGTCCAGTGCGAGCACTTCCTCGTGCGAACCACTCTTCATATCCCTTTCCCGCTTGCGTGCCTTCTTCTTGGACTGGCCACCCTGCTGGAACGAGCGCTTTGCACCTGCGCGTTGTTGACCTTGCTTTTGGTCATGTTGACCTGGTTTGCTGGGAGCCTCAGCAAGCAACGCCGAGAAGGTGGTAGAATCCATGACCGAAAATGGCCTTGCTGCCCGCACAGAAATAGGTGAGTAAGAGAAGAGAGACCGGCTCCCAGAATACAGATGCGATGCCAAAATCCGACCTATTCTCATTGAAATCTGAATCTGTGTTTGTTGATTTTTTTGTTTCGACTTTCAACAAAATGGATGGACCATTGAAATTATTTCATCCAAATGGCACACGAATCGAAGCTGGACAAGAGAAGAAAGCTTTCATTAACTAGAATATGATTGGTTGGGCTCGCAAGTGGACCAGGAAAAAAGTGTGGAACTCGTTATCGCTTCCTTATCGCGCATCTCCCCTGGTTTGGCTCTAGTCTCAATTTGATCTAGCGTCAATCGGTCTTGATCGGCTGTCTTAGTCGGACATTCCGGCCCTGTCCCAGTGATCACGATATCAACCAGCACCGCACGCCATATCTGTTTCTTCATCCCTTCTCTATTCTCTGCTCTGTTTTCCACGGCTGTTTGGTGTGGACTTTGCTTCTGGTGACTTGGAGTTGGCGTGCACTTTTTACGAAAACTCACGTCTTGGTCCTTTGTGTCACCTAGTATAGTCTTGACTGGGTTCAGCTTGGGTAAGTAGTACAGAGTATCGGTTATCCTGGAGCGTGTCGGC